GGGGGGGGGGGAGCGCGTGTCCCTCCCCAGCTGGCGCCCTCTTGCAGTCCGGTTCCCCTCAGGTAGGGTCCCTAGGCCTGGCTGGCGATCAGGGCCTATCAGGGCTCCCAACCCCCCTCCCCGCTGCTGGCAGCTGACCCTGCCCCCGCCACTTCCACTGCTTGCCATCTGTACGGTGCTGCTCCCTTCTCCCCTGCCACTGGGCGACAGGCATGGGGTGTGATTGCTTGGCTGGCCTGGGCCTTCCTATGCCAGGCGCTCATTGGCTGGTGGTCTGGGCCTCCCTCTAGGGTCGATCCGTGGAGCCTCCCCATAGATTGCCCTGCTGGCCGGTTGCCTGGGCCTCCCTCTTTGGGGCAGTCGATCATGGAGCGCCCCCCCCCCCCCATTGATCACCTTGCAGTGGGTGACCTGGGCCTCCCTCTGCAGTGTGATTGTGGGGCAATGGTGGGCACCCCTGACCAATCACATCGCACCCGCCTTTGCTGGCCTGGTGCCAGTGCATGTCATAGCATGGTTGTCCGGAAGGTCGTCTGGACCGTCGTTCTGCTGTTCAGTCGATTTGCATATTACGCTTTTATTATTATAGATTTTACATTAACAGAGTACTGGAATTTGGGGCTGAGGTTTCTTTTTACTGAATCTTTAGTCTCCAAAATCAGATAGAGAGAAGAGCAAATATGGAAAGAACGTGGGCGGTGGAATTTGAAAAAACCTTATTCCTGACTCTGTACTTATTAATCTCTTGAAGGCTCTGTTAACTATAAAATGAGAGTAACTTCGTAGAGGGTGTGTATGTGTGCATGTGCACATGTATTAAATGAGATTATATATTGGAAGCACTTAAAACAATGCCTAGTATACAGAAAGAGCATAATAAGTGCTTGTTCTTTTTTTTTTCCTTTGGCCTAAGCCAGTGATCTTTTTTTGCATCCTAAAAAAGTTATACCAGTGTTTAGTATGTTGTAGTCTTTTTTTTTTAAAATATATTTTATTGATTTTTTACAGAGAGAAAGGGATAGAGATAGAGAGTCAGAAACATCGATGAGAGAGAAACATCGATCAGCTGCCTCCTGCACATCCCCCACCAGGGATGTGCCCGCAACCCAGGTACATGCCCTTGACCGGAACCGAACCTGGGACCCTTCAGTCCGCAGGCCGGCGCTCCATCCACGGAGCCAAACTGGCTTTGGCTAGTATGTTGTAGTCTTTACTGAAACAAATCTGAAACAGACCCAATATTAGATAGGGTTAACTGGGAAGGGATAGAATTTCTGTGAAACCCTCTTATCCTTAATTCATATTAAAACTACTAAGGCCTCTTTTTACCTGGTAGTACAGAGTACTATATTTTGCACATAGTAGGCACTTAAGGATGTAATTAAGCAGTAAAAATAACGTTAAGGAGGGAATCTGAAGGCCTGTATGTAATCTTGGCTTCTTTGCTTATTGATTTTTATGTAAGCCGCCGACTCTCTTTGAACATTGTGTCTTGCCCTTCTTGGTCTAGCAATGTGAATAGGTTGCATCCACCTTAGAGTAGATAATAAAGTCATACAAGGAAGACCTCGGAGCTCAGAAAGGGAGCTCTAGAAGTGGAAGTGGTTGGATCTACCTTGGATCCAAATTGCTAGTCAAGGAGGAGAAACTATATGCAGGACATTTTTAGTTGAGGATCAGGTGTATCGGAGACCAGAAGTTTGGTAAATAAAAAAGGTGCAAACCTTGAAAGAAATACCAGGTTCTTAATCAAAACAGAAATAGCAGCAACAAAAACATATAATTGCAGGAAATTAAGGTGCAGGTTTTCAAAGACAGAAGCACAGATGGAAGATGCCAGTAACAACAAGGAAAACTTTACAAATGAGGTGGCTTCTATACCATAAATTTAGAATCCTCCTCATTGCTCACCTCTTTTCATCTGTTTCCCAGATCTTGCTAACTTAGCTAAGAAAATTCTTTCACCTTTTCTCTTTCCCACTTAGCCTTCTTCTCTACCCAGTGTTTTTCTCTTCATTGTTTCATTTTCAGTCAAAATGCATGAGATCAAGAACTATGCTAGAGCTATAACTGGACTGTGTGTGTGGTTTTTTTTTTAGGATATTTACCTGGCTTTTTTGTGAAAGATGAACAAGATAATAAACCATAACAACATTTTGAAGATGTTGCTTTTCTTATAAAATACTCAGTATTCTTACTGCACTTTGTATCAGTCAACTGTCACCACAACAGCCACTCCAAAAGTTAGTGTCATACCAAAATATTATTTTCATGTTCACAGATTTGCAGATTGGTTGGATGGCTCTTCTGCATGTGTACCTTATTCTTCTGGAGTAACTGGGCTACTCAGGTCATGTTCTTCTGAGGAAGTTGCAAAAGTTCAAGAGGGCAAGCTCAACCCTGCATGCACATTTTATGCTTGCTCTTATGCTGTTTGCTAATATGTCATTGGTCAAAGCATTCCACATGGCAAGCCCAAGCAAGAAAATACAGCCTGTCTCTAGTGTATGGAAGTGGAAAATGGCAGAGGGTGTGGTGGATACAGAGATGGGAGTAGTCTTGGAAGTCTAGCTTGGGCATTGTAATATTTTCTGGGCTTTATATTTGTGTTTATGTTTTACCTTGAAGTCATCAATGTGTATACTATTTTGAATTTCATCACTTTAGCTTGATGTGATTTTGCAATATACAGTTGTTTGCTTAACTCAGACTATACTTCTAGGTCCATCTATATCAAAATCACAGTCTTTGGGGGTAGGGCCTGGGAATCTTCATTATTAACAAACTTATCAGGTCTTTCTTATGCACATTGAAGTTTAGACTTTCTTCCTTAGTGGACATTTGCACTGTTTCTGTTTTTCCAGTGTAATATGTGATAGCCAGCAACTTTGTACAGGTGACTAATTTTGGGGGTGGTTATTCAATAGTTTTTCCCTGATCCATGATTGATTAATTTGCAGTTGAGGAAAGTAATATTTGGAGTAAAGAATGGAGTTTGGAGCGCTGTTGATGGTGAGATTACAAACAAGGCTATCAAATCTTTTAAGTATTTTATGCTTATTAAAATAAAACATTGAGTTAGATAAGGAGAATTTCTGTAATATTGTTATATAGTTTTTAATTGTAATGTTGGGCTGTGGAATTGCTATTAGGGGTAATTTTTAAAATGAAAGTGGAAAAGTAGATAGGTTTAAGGAGAATTTATTTTTCTAATATTTTAGCTTTATTAATCTGGCATTTCGATTCTTCAACAATTTTGATTCTTCATGGCATTTGATATAACCTTGTTTATGTACTTGATTGTGTGTGTATTGTTGGATATTCTTGGTTATTTTAGCTCTTTAGGAGTTTTATAGCAATGAAAATTGATGGCTTGGCAGATACTGTATATACTGGTACAGCATATACAATATACATCCTTTTCTTTTTCCTTATAAACAGAACCCTTTTTCCTTATAAACAGAACCCTATTTATTTTATTTTGCCTAGCTGAAAAGTATATTCCCCAACCTCCTTTACAACTATGATTTGGCTATGTGACTATTTTGCTTAATGAGAAGTGAGACTTCAAGTGGAAGTTATTTGAATAAATAGGGTTTGTTAAAGAAGGCAGAATCATTTCACAGACACCTTTTGTCCTTTGCTCTTTTCTTCATATTGCCTAAAACTTGGACAGAATGTTGGAAGAGGAGAAATGGAGTAACCGACATTTGATGACTGTCACATATAAGAATGTTTAGTGGGAAGACAGGAGGAGCTTAGATCTTTGAATCCCATGAGATATACTTTTCAGATCTAGACTGCTCTCCTCCAGTCTACCTAGATTAGGAAAAAGAGACATTTCAGTGTGTTGAAGCAATTATTTAAATGGGACTCTGTTACATGTAGCCAAATATAATTCCGAACTTATACTTGTGGTTTCCGTAAAACATATTTAGACTAGGTTATCTGAAACTTAACTTTAAAATTGCTTTTATTGTTTTCATTTAATTTAGACATTTTTTAGGACTCTTCATCTGAATGTATAAACAAGTACATTATGCATATTTAAATTATCAAGCATGTTTTGAAATGCGCATTTTCCAATACTGACGTCAACAAATCTACATGCAGAGTATTATAAAACTTACTTTGAAGTAATTTTAAATATAAAGTTGCAAGATGAGTATGAAGAACTTTCATCACTTATTTTTGAACCATTTGAGAGTAAGTTGCATGCTCCTTTACCACTTAAACATTTCAGGATCCGTTTCCTAAGAAAAAATATATTTTTGATGCAGTTATCAAGTTCAGGAATTTAATATTAATACAGTATTGTTACTAAGCAGCCCATATTCCTGTTTCTTCAGTCGACCCAATAATATGCTGTAGAATTTAGTATGAGAAGCAATCTGGTCTCACTTTATGTTTGGTGGTCATGCCTTTTCAGTCCTCCTTTAATCTGGAACCGCATCCTTTGTCTTTCTGGTGTAGACAGTGTGAAGATAAATGTTTCTCAGTTTGGACTTGTCTGATATTTCCTCAAGATTAGACTCAGTTTGTTTATTTTGTGGCAGGAATAGCACAGGTGGTATTGTCTTCTTGGTGTATCATATTATATATCAGGAGGCACACAATGTCATTTTACCCTATTAGGGGTAATATTAACTTTGATCACTTGATTCAGGTGATTTCCGTTAGGTTTCTTCTTTGTAGTTACTTTATCACTTTAGAGTTCCTAGGAAGAGAGCTTAAAACTATGCTACTGTCCTGTTTCTCATTAAACTTTCACCCATAGTTTTAGCATTGATGATTCTTGACTGAATTATTACTGAGATGAATGTAAAACATTTTCAAGAAAGATTTTATCAGATCCTTTTATTCATGATACTGTCTTGGAAACTTCTTTTAAGAAACTTCTTTTTAAAATGTAGGGAGGAGCTTAGCTCTTAATTAGGGTAGTTCAGGGAAGGATTTGATAGTGGGATCCTATCCATCTCCCTCCTTTTCTCTGCAATCTATACTAATAAAAGGGAGACCTTCCAGACAAAGCCATGGTGACTGGGCTGAGGCAGAGGGGTTAGGGGCGATAAGGCTGGCAGGGGAGGGCAGTTGGGGGTGAGCAGGCCAGCAGGGGGGGGCTTTGGGGGCAATCAGGCAGGCAGGCAGGTGTGCGGTTAGGAGCCAGCAGTCCCGTATTGCAAGAGGGAGGTCTGACTGCCAGCAGTTGGAATTCCTCTTTTCCAATTTGGATGCCTTTTATTTCTTCTTCTTGCCTAATTGCAATGGCTAACTCTTCCAGTACTATGTTGAACAGGAGTGGTGAGAGGGGGCATCCCTGTCTTGTTCCTGTACATTTTACTAATTTTCTTTCATCTTTGACACTTCTATTATAGAGCAAAGACAAATAGCAATATTAAAATATTTCCCCTAATTAATCCCTCTTCACCCCCCCACGAATTTCGTGTACCAGGCCACTAGTAGAGTATAATTACTGTATAGACCAATAGCATATGAACAGGTCTGCAGCAAATGGGAGCAAAAGATGAATTCTATATTTAGGATCTTTTATGACAGATAGGAGAATGAGGTGATTCTCTTTTTTCCTCAAATAGCTCTTAGGATTCCCATGATGTAGTATACCTACATAGTACATGGCCTGCCAAAGCATGTCTTTTTCAGACATTCCAGGTGCCTAGATGTTGGCTGACCCAAGAGGCGGGGAGGAATTCCTAGAACTGCCTGACTTCAGTCAGTAGGGCCATTACCTCCTTGAAGTAGCCCAGTGGATACACTTTCCTTAGTTTTCCAGGGTTTATCCACCATGAAGATCACTCCTTTTCATTTTGGGAGACATGAATGAGGTGGTGAAGATTAGCTAGAAACTTAATTCAGGAGCTCTTATTCTTGGGAGTAATGTAAAAATTCCCCTTTAGTGGAATCATGAGAATGGAGTAAGGTTCTCCACATAGCATGGTTCATTCTTCCTAAAAGAGTGAAATTTGTTCAGTCTCAAGTTCTTTTTTATTCTAGTTTAATTTGCATTTTCCATCACCCCCTTCCCCTGCAAAGTCATTCATATTTTCATATTTCAAAGTGTAATAATTTTGGTTTTCCCCCTCCTTTAGCATCAGCAGACGTTTTTGAATCAGCTGAGAGAAATCACTGGGATTAATGACACGCAGATACTACAGCAAGCCTTGAAGGTATGACCTCTGTTTTATGACATAGTTCATGTTAACCCCTTTAGTCTTGCTGCCTACCATTTTTGAAAGTTGAGGTTTTTTGTTATACCATGTGGTAGTAGTAGAAATATAAGAAAGAACTTTTATAAAATAAGAGACTTAACATACTATAGTTTTGAGCATGTTAGCTTCAGCAGCCTAATGTTCCAAGATATTGTGGAGTGACAGATAACTCTCCGTAAGAAACACTTTCATGGCAAAATGGAGGGGTGTGATGAATCCAGATGCAGATGGCTGATTTACTCAAGAGCCACGTGTTAGAGTTTAAATGGAGTGGAGAGTGGGTTGGGTTAGAAGAAGAGGAAGAGAGAGGAGTAGAAAATTAATAGAGGATCAAAAGCTTACTTTTTTTTTCCTTCCAAGGAAAAATATAATTTGGCTAACATTCAACTGATTGTACCTTAGGAATATTTAATATCAAACCTGTTTAGTACATGCCACAAATAAAGTGCATCATTTTGGTTGTATATTATGAAGTAGCCTCCTTTCTATGTGGGGCACTTGATGAGTCACATCACATGGATACGTGCATTGAAAAGATGAAGTGGCCTGGCCTGAGTGCCTCAGTGGTTGAGCATCAACCCATGAACCAGGAGGTGCCTGGTTTGATTCCATGTCAGGGCACATGTCTGAGTTGTGGGCTTGATCCAGTATGGGCCTAGCTAGCAGGAGGCAGCCAAATGATGTTGCTCTCTCTAAAATCAATAAAAACATATTTAAAAAAAAGATCAAGTGAAGGAAAGATGTTTAACACTAGATTGCCCAAGGAAGTCATTTTGACTGCTTTTTAATTTCAATAGAAAAACAATGATGTATGTAATGACAGAATTTCTTAGAATTTGGTGACTTTTTATACAACATATAAATGCGTTTATTAGTAATTGTAGTTACCTCCCCCTCCTTCATTTCCGGTATATATATACTTGTTCTAATAAGTTGTTTATTTTATTTCTTTTGTGCCCTAAATTCATGAAAGAAATGTCCAATAGAAGTGAGTTACTGGAAAAGCTAAGGAACGTAAGTGAAGAGTGCTCCGATATTATTCTTTCACGATGCAGTCATTTTGACTGCTTTTGGGCAATATAGGTATATACTAAATTTCGGTCTTTCTAGTGTTAAGAATTTAAATTTACAGTGTTTTTACCACTCTGGACCTTCATACAACTTCAGTCCTTTGGAACTTGCTACATGAGGCAAAATTATGTAATTTTTTATTCTGAGCCCCAAATTCTTCATTTGTTTCTAGCAATAATTTATCATTTAGATGGGTGTAATCATAATCATCATAATGATAGTGATCATAGCACTTGTTAGGCACTTACAGTACTAGCTGCTATTCTCAATACTTCATGTGGATAACATCCTCCTAATAGCTCTATGAGGTAGGTATTATTTTCACCTCCTTTTAAACGATTAGGAGACAGAGGTTAATGTGACTTGCTTAAGACCACACAGCTAGTATGTGGAGGAGCTTAGAATAGAAACCAAGAAGCCTGGTTCCGGGGAGCCACACTGAACTTCTGCTTTTACTAGAAGCTTTACTTCAGCCTTTTCCCCATTAGAAAAATGATGAGACAGTACTGTTGAGAGCCTCAGTGCATGGGTTATGAAGCCAATGTATGTATTTGGACAGGAAGCAAAAGTGTTGTACTCTGTTTTTATAATTACGACATTTGGATGATTGCCAGTTTTTTCTTTATTCTGATAACCTGATCAAATCACCCCATGTGTATTTTCAGACAATGTCTTTCTCATTCTGTACCACTGAGTGGGAGTATACACCATTATATTGTCAAGGAAAATCTAGCAAATTTTCTTTTTTAACTTGGGAAATATGTAGGATATGTTTAATTAAATAATAATAAAGAATTAATTAAATTCTTGTCCACATTTTCTTTGAGGTAAGTTGTGTGACTTTATTTGGTTTTGTTTTTGTTTTAAAATTTTGGCCAAAACCGGTTTGGCTCAGTGGATAGAGCATCAGCCTGCGGACTGAAAGGTCCCAGGTTCGATTCCGGTCAAGGGCATGTACCTGGGTTGCGGGCTCATCCCCAGTAGGAGATGTGCAGGAGGCAGTTGTTCGATGTTTCTCTCTCATCGATGTTTCTAACTCTCTATTTCTCTCCCTTCCTCTCTGTAAAAATTCAATAAAATATAATTAAAAAAAAATTTTGATTCTGGTACCAGTAGCTGGTCTGGGAGTTGGGGGAGACATTGTGCTTGAACCTTAACTGTTGCCCAATATAAATTTGTAAGATGTTTAATATTATCTTGACTCTCGCAGTCATAGACTGACAGGTAGTTTACTGTTGGGAGCCAAAATGTTATTGACTGATTTCAGGACTTTTATTTTATTTTGAATATCTATCATTAGCCCTCCGAAGTTAGTAACCTTTAGGTTGTGTAAATCCTGGTTGCAGTTTGTTACTGCATAAGATAGTGTATGAAATGCACTTAGCACACTTCTTGGCACATAGTAAGTGCTCAATAAATATTAGCCATTATTACTGCAAATTATTTTACAACTAGTTTATTTATTGAACTATAAAATATGTTACAGCCATATTTTGGATGAATCATTCATTTAAGAGTCTTATAGTAATTGTGACAGAGTTTAAAGCAGTGGTGCTTTTCAAATTGCACCGTGACCTTTTCTCTCCTCACTAGCTACTAGAATTGCAGTGAGTGTGTTGGGGACTTCATTCTTCCATAGCTCAGGCCTCAGGTCTTGGAATCATCCTGATCTTTTTCTTTCTGTCATCCTCCCCCCCACCCCCCGTATTTAATATGATAGCAAATGATGTTGGGCTTTGCTCCTGCCCTTTCTGTCCTGTAATCTATTCTCAACAAACAGTAGAGCGGTCCTTTAAATGTAAGCCATACCATGTTATTTCGGTCCAAATCACTCCACTGGCTTCCTGTTACACTTTGTGTGTGTGGGAAAGTTCCTAAGGCCTGCCCAGCTTGTGTCCTCTGGTTTTCTTTTATAAAGATAACTTCATTATTAACATTTGGATTTCTTAATGTTGTTTGAATTAGCTGCCATAGAACTATTGTTACATGTATTAATTGTACAGAGAATATAGAGATAAAACTGAGCAAGTCATTCTTTTGTTGTTTTTGAAATGCTCAGTTTCCTAGCATCTACTTTTTTTCTAAATTAACTGTAGAAAAAAGTTGTGTCTAGGTATGCTTTTGATGAGAATTACATAAACTTTATTAGTATGTATAGGTTGGGTTAGATCATCATCTTATCATTGAGCATTTCTGTCTAGGACAGCAGTTCTCAACCTGTGGGTCGCGACCCTTTGGGGGTCGAACGACCCTTTCACAGGGGTCGCATAAGACCATCAGAAAACACATATATAACTACATATTGTTTTTGTGATTAATCACTATGCTTTAATTATGTTCAATTTGTAACAATGAAAATACATCCTGCATATCAGATATTTACATTTGCTTAAGTTTGCCTGTAGACATGGATTCAGCATCCATATTAAAGGGAACATCTTTTATTGTCCTTGTTTACAGAAGTACTGTTATACTCATTTTTTACACTTTTAGCTAACTCCAGAAAACACTTTTTAGTTTGTTCATTGGTTTAGAAGTATGAGTTTGTGATTGATTTTTGTTAAGCAGATATGAAAGTAATGGAAAAATAAGAAATTAGTTATGTAATTGATTTTTACATTGTGTTAGTAGTTTTAATTAATAGAAACAGGAATTACTATTGATATAGTATACTAGGTTTACAATGAATTTAGGGTACAAAATTAGAATCAACAATAATTTCAAATCTGAAAACAATTTTTGCTATTAAGTATTAGTTGTGATGAAGAGAATTACATAAACTATGAGGATGTATAGAAATAGTTCAAAATATTTGATATTTTGTTCTTGATATTTGAAGGACAGTAATGGAAACTTGGAATTGGCAGTGGCTTTCCTGACGGCAAAGAATGCCAAGCCCCCTCAGCCAGAAGAGACAGCTTACTACCAAACCGCGCTTCCGAGCAGCGACCGCTACATCAGTGTGGGGAGCCAGGCGGACGCAAGTGAGTTTACTTCTCCTTCTTAATATTTAATATGATGTCATGAAAAATTCCTGTGGGAATATATTCATTTGTTTAAGCAGAGGTGAAGGAAAATAAAAGAGCTACTTCATCAGCATTATATATTTTTTTCCAATTTGGGAGTTAAAGATTGTATTTAAGTTATTTATCTTTTCATTGAGCATTTCACATAGTAATTATTGTTTAAAATAGGGAGTAACTACAGGTGTTACTCATTAAAGAAACAAACTTGTCTAGAATTTTAAGTGGGAACAGTCATTTCTTTTATGGAATTTAAGTGTTGTGGCGACCTCAATATTATTTTTGAAGGTAAAATATTATTATTGATTACTGATAGGTTTACCATTTAATAGACTTTCCTTTACCTCAACCCCTGCCCTTCCCCAAAATAAAGCTTTTGGGAGAAGATTTATTACCATGTAATAAAATAAATAAACACATATATGCACACACAGACACAGATACACATATACATAGAAAATTTTGCATGGGATACTAAGTTTTCTTCAGAGTATCAATATGTTTATATAACAATGAATTTTAAAAAATATGAACATTTACCCCCTATAAAATGTAGGTATTTATTTTTATGCATTCTGGACCTGAGCAGTTTGATTATTAACTTGTATTTGAAGAGAATTTCTGATTTTGTTTATAGATTTTATTTAAGTTAGACAGCAATCAGGAAGAACCCATCCACATAGATGTTTATAGCTATTGATTGGCATTAAATACTGCTTAATTCTTGTTAATAAAATATTTTCATTTCAAACTTTCAAGGTGATCTTTATATTTTTGCTTCACAAGTGATCTTAGGTTAGCCAAAGCTGGAATACTCCTATATCACACAGATAATAGGTGTGGGAGAAGTTTTATACTCATAAGACAGACTTTGCTTATGTTCAAGTTCAAAACACACTGTGTTTTGGCCTCTGTCTGTACCTCTAACTTCCTTTTCTCCTGTTGTCCTCCTCTCACTTTGTACTGTCATAATACAGAATGGCTTGAAGTTCTCAGACCCCCAGTGCTATTTAATCTCTTCGTCTTTACATTTGCTGTTCCTTCTGTCTGGAGTCCCGTCTAGCCTTTACCTCTAGCTTCATTCCTTCTGGTGTAACACTTAACTCAGGAGCTGCTGGTTCTGGCAATAAGTGCTTCTCTAGCAGCTAGAGCATACTTTTGTCTTAAAGAGTACTACTGTGTTATTTTCAAATGGTTTGTGTCTTTCTTGCTTACCAAACTGGAAGCTTAATAGGGCAAGAAACCATTGATGTTCCCAGCATCATACTAGAATGTCATAGTGTCTCAAAAGTGTTTGTTGAATTATTTTTAAATATATAAAGAGCTGTTTCAAAACCAATGAAAGAGAACAAGCTTGTTGCAAAAAAAAAGAGAGAAAAAGAGGTGATTAAAAAGGTGGAAAAGGAGAAGTCTATAAATAAAGGAGGAATGAGTATATGAGAATAACAACATTTATGGTTCTGAGACTTGGGGGGAAAACAAAATTAGGTAGAAAAGGGAAAAATAGAATTATTTTGATTGAAGGCAATTGCTTAAAGTGAAGGAAACGGAATTGACTAAACATGGTTCAGGGTTCTAGTTGAATGGATGAAAATATTTTAGAATGAGACCTGAGAATTCTTATAGATGGTAGACTTTGTGACATGAGATATCATATATAGGTATTCATGGGAGGTAAGATCATAAGACTGTTATAAACAAAAGAAAATGTCTTATTTGCTGTGAGAAAGTCAGGAAATATTCTTTTTTTAAAAATTTTTTTAGGAAATATTCTTTAAGGCAGATGTTAACACCTGTTCAAGATTTTTGACAAAGGAATAGTGAAAGTGTGGATAAAAAGAGATTTGAACAGGATTTCTGAGGGAAAAGGCCACCTGATTTTATTTTTATTTATTTAATTTTAATGTTTTTATTTATTTTAGAGAGAGAGGAAGGGAGAGGGTTAGAGAGATAGAAACATCAATGAGAGAGAAACATCACTGAGCTGCCTCCTGCATGCCCCTTACTGGGGATTGAGCCCCAACCTGGGCATGTGCCCTGCCCGGGAATAGAACCGGTGTCCTCTTGGTTCATGGGTTGATCGATGCTCAGCCACTGAGCCACATGAGCTGGGCACAACCTGATTTTATAAGACATACGTCCCATTTTCTCATAATGAAAGTTTGTGTGTGTGGCTCTTGAAAAATATACACTAAATAATTTTGTATTTCACTTGAAAGAAATGGTAGAGAAATGGACTTTCTGGTTTCATCTCAACTGATTTGACAGTTGTATTGAGCAAATTGCTTGCTGTTGTGGTTTCTTTATTGATAAAATGTGCTGTCCTTCTACCCAGATGTTAATTCATATTTAATCATTCAATAATTTGGATAGCGTGTTCATAAAGTTGGTTTGAGATTAGTGAGAAGAAACTTTCATAGTAGTATCAAACTGAGGAAAGTAGCTGAGGAGGTAACAGTAATTCTTTTCCATTTAATAAACTTGTGCCATATTTTATGAAGTTTTAAGAAGTACATCTGCCTTTAGGAAATAGCCCCAATTCAATATTTAATTCTGTAGTGTTGTAATAATTTCACATGGTTTAAAACTGAGAAAGTACAGAGATGTCATGCATTCAACAGATTCTTTAAATTATTGTGCTGTTATTGCTGAAAAAATCAAAATCTTTTGTGTATTTTAATGCATCTGTGTTAACACACCTTTGAGGTAAGTATGACCACCCTAAGAGAGCAAATCAGTAATTACAAATGAAAATGTATTCGAACACTGGCCTCTATTGAAAAATCTGCGTTAAGTGCTCAAAGAATGTGTAGTGTTGAAGTGATCAAAGTGTTAGGAAGTTTTCCAGGGATTGCTCTAGATCAGTGGTTCTCAACCTTCCTAATGCTGCGACCCTTTAATAAAATTCCTCTTGTTGTGGTGACCCCCAACCATAAAATTATTTTCGTTGCTACTTCATAACTAATTTTGCTACTGTAAACAATATGTAATTAATTTTATATGTGTTTTCTGATGGTCTTAGGTGGCCCCTGTGAATGGGTCATTCGACCCCAAAGGGGTCGCGACCCACAGGTTGAGAACCGCTGGTCTAAGCATTCCAGCGTCACTTTCCAAAAATTCAACTCCTCTCACCACATTGTGTCCTTGGCCAGGTGTTCCCTAGTGCATCTTAGAGAAAAAAGTCACTAGGCGTGCTTTAGGCACGTAAGGAAAATGAATGCAACATGATTATAGTAATCAGTCATTAGTGAATGTTGTAGTTCATTATTAATAACTAGAGGCCCGGTGCACTGGGGGTGGAGAAGTCCCTCAGCCCAGCCTGCACTCCCTCACAGTCCGGGACCCCTCACTCCTTAACGCCTGCCTGCTTGCTGTTCCTTAGCGCTGCCACCGAGGCAGGAGCGGCTCCCACCACTGCCGCTGCACTTGCCAGCTGTGAGTCTGGCTTCTGGCTGAATGGCGCTCTTCATGTGGGCGTCTGCCCCCTGGTGGTTAGTGCACGTCATAACGACCGGTCATTCTGGTTGTTCTGCCATAAGGGTCGCTTAGGCTTTGATTATATAAACTATATAGACTAGTAGCCCTGTGCACGAATCCGTGCACCAGTAGCACACTGTGGGCCTGGCCAATCTGTGCCTGCTGCCCAAAGGCTCTCCACGGCCCAGAGGTCCATCTGCGCCCTGGCCTGGCCAGAGGCCCATCCACAGCCGGGCGCAGAACGCTTGCCTTGTTGCCGGGGCAATGACACAAGCGTCTCCTCCCCCCACCCCCACCACTGCTCCGGGCCTGCTGCTGAGAGGCCCTCCGAGGCTGGGGTGGAACGCTTGCCTTGTCTGCCAGGCCGCTCATGCTGCCCACTCTCAGCGACCGCCCCCCACCCCCCACCCCCCCGGGACTGGGGGACTCTGGCGGGACTGAGAGGACTGGATGTCACCATATTGTGGCTATGGGCGCCACCATCTTTTATGACGGAGTGATGGTTAATTTGCATACTACCCTTTAATTAGATAGGATTATGTATAACAGGATATTGTAAACATTAAGTTACGAAATTTTTATTAAAACGTTTCTTTTTTAACTTTATTTTATTGTTTAAAGTATTACAGATGTCTCCTTTTTTACCGCATTGACCTTCCCCCGGCCTACCCTACCCCCTGGCACATGCCCTCACTCCACCCCCACAGTGTCTTGGGTCCATTGGTTATGCTTATATGCAGCATAGAAATCCTTCGATTGATCTCTTACTTCCCCTGAAACAATCTTCCCCAGCCTTCCTGCTGTATTTTTTACAATCTGTTTGATGCTTCTCTCTCTTTCTATCTTTTTGTTCATAGGGTTATAATGTTCTTTATTATCCATAAATGAATGAGATCATGTGGTATTTTTCTTTCTCTGACTGGCTTATTTCACTTAGCATAATGCTCTTCAATTCCATCCATGCTGCTGCAAATGGTAAGAATTCCTTCTTTTTTATAGCAGCGTAGTATTCCATTGTGTAGATGTACCATAGTTTTCTAAAATACTCATCTGCTGATGGGCATTTAGGCCGTTTCCAAATCTTAGCTATTGTAAATTGTGCTGCTATGAACATAGGTGTGCATATATCCTTTCTGATTGGTGTTTCTGTTTTCTTGGGATATATTCCTAGAAGTGGTATTCCTGGGTCAAATGGGAGTTCCGCTTTTAAATTTTTGAGGAAGTGCCATAGTGTTTTTCACAATGGCTGCACCAGTCTGCATTCCCACCAACAGTGAAGAAGGATTCCTTTTCTCCACATCCTCTCCTGCACTTGTCATTTGTTGATTTGTTGATGATAGCCATTCTGACAGGTGTGAGGTGGTACCTCATAGTTGTTTTGATTTGCATCTCTCGGATGATTAGTGACTTTGAGCATGTTTTCATGTGTCTCTTGGCATTATGAATGTCCTTTTTCAGAAAGTGTCTATTTAGGTCCTTTGCCC